GACAGAGGAGGGGGCAGGGAAAGGCTGTTTTAGGAATATTGTGTAGGAAGAAGCAGCGGATTTGGACATCCTCTGGATGTGTGGGGAGAGGGAGGGGTTGAAGATGACCAGTAGCTTATTGGCTGTACTGACAGGTTTCTGCTCAGTAGCAGCAGGCACTTTTGTATAAATTTACTTACCTACTCTTGTGGCATGTAACACTTACAATCAATGTAACTGAAAGACATTAGGAAAATATATTTTCAGTTTTCTTATTTTGTGCACTAGACAGTGTATAGTCCCCTTTCACTGTCCCCCCTTTATAGTCAGATGCAGCCATATTTTCATTGATTTTGGGCACCTCTATGTTTGCATGTCTTAAGTTGGGCTCCCAAAATCATTGGCCACTTTTAAAAATGTTGGTCTTAGTTTCCCTTTTTGTTCCTGTAGGTCTTTCTCACAGCAACCTGGGAGAGATTTTTCTTTTTCTAATAAAGGACTGTGATTGTGAAACCACAAAAATTGTCAAGCGATACCAGGGCAGGTGCAGTATCTTATGCTACTTTTAACTTATTTTTTTCAAACTGATGAAATGTCCATTTGATGGTGTCCCTTTGAAGACTTTGTGGGGCTTGGTGGAGTAGAATGACTTCCCACAACCTGTCCTAAGAATGATTTTATATCCCTAATTCTATATAAACCGTATTCCTTGAATGACTGTTCTAGTTATTACCCTCTATTATAATAATTATTGCTATTATAGATGAGTGAATGCAGATATTAACTGTAAAATCTCGGTGATCATTCTCATTGCTAGATCAGAAGCACTGCTTCATTTATAAGTGCCCTGTAATAAAGTCATCTTAATTAAATGAAGATAGCAGTTTATGCATTTATAGATTTAATTATTTTAACTCCAAATTATTATTCTTTTGCCTTAGAAGTCATTTAACAGGATGGGCCAGAGGTTTCCATTTAAAAAATATGGCTTTGGTTAAAATATTTTGCCTGTTGGTTTATCCACTTTGTACAAAATGAAATGGCTTTACCCCTTGGGGTTTTAAATTAGATAGAGGTCAGTATACTTACATACCAGATTTACATCCCAATCCTGCAAACCCCTATGCACGTGAATATCTTTATGCATGTGAATACTGACGAGTTCAATGGGAATACTTCCAGTGTGACGTTATTTATGAATATCTGTTTGCAGGATTGTGGCCTTAGTCAACAAAAGTGTTTCAGAAATTCAGGTGTAATTTTTTGATACTCGAAACTCCAATTAATGTTGGAGATTGGATTGTAGGATGGGAGCACTGTACAGCATTTGTAATGGGAGTGGCACAAGTCATCCATGCAAACAGACCGGGATTCTGGGAGATTATACCCCTTGAGCATGGAGGCTATTCCACCACCACTGTGGGAGTAGAGAAAGAGGTTTCCTTTCTATAGAGATCCCTAGTGTTGTGTGTTATTTGTATTATGCTAGTGCATAGAAGCCCCAAGTGAGATCAGGGTCTCATTGTGCTAGGTGCTGTACAAACACATAACGAGAGAGTGTCCCTGCCCCAAAGAGGTTACAATCTAAGTAGACAAGACTGGTATAAAGATGGGGGAAAAAGAAGGATAATTATCTCCATTTTACAGCGGGGGAAGTGAGATACGGATAACAGGAATGATTTTCCCATGATCACTTAAAGTCTATGACCAAGCTACAAAACGAACCTAGATCTCCTGAATCCCGGACTAGTGCTTTAACCACAAGGTCATTCTTCCTCTCAGCATGCATCCTTCGTCTCATTTCCCCGCACCCCCAGCATATAATCAACCTACATAATGGAAGAGATTATTTGTTCACAAAGACAATTTTTTTTTAAACATCAGGTATTGGCCATAAGCAAGAGTAGGATACCAGCTTTGATGGACTTATTGTCTGAGTTGGTTTGGCCAATCATATATTTCCATACAAAGAGAAAGGAAATGCACAATTTCAACAAACAGTAAGAAAACCACATCACATGTGTGCTGTTGTTTTATTTTTATAGATTCACAGACTTTCTCTCCCATCTTTTGCCTTGTCTCTTTACACTATGAACTCTGGCTCTCTCATGTGTACCTTCAACATCTATCATAAGGTGTCCCAATTTTGGCTGGGGCTTCTAGGCAGTACTGTAGTGGCTCATAATTTAAGACCAGAAGAAACCCATTATCGTCATCTTGTCTGACTTCCCCCAGAGCTAAGGCCACTGAATTTCAGTTAGACACATACAAAGTCAAATTTCAGAGTAGTAGCCGTGTTAGTCTGTATCCGCAAAAAGAAGAACAGGAGTACTTGTGGCACCTTAGAGACTAACAAATTTATTAGAGCATAAGCTTTCGTGGACTACAGCCCACTTCTTGTGTGTA